TTCCTAAGGTAATCTAACATTCTGTGAACCAAATGACCCATTATATTCTTTTTTTAGTTCAATGACTTAATTGCAATTTAGTGCGGAATTAAGTGGCCTAACCCTTATTCCAAAAAAATATAATTTATGGTATATTATTTACTAGTTGCGAAAAGCAACTATTTATGGTTGAGGAATTTGTGAACCGTATAACTGGACAGTGTGGAAGCTGGAAGCATTTGTAAACGGCGATGAACCAAACGCACACCTACGCATTGCTCCAAAATGCGTTAGCGTTTTGAGGAGTTCTCTGTTGAATCAATCGAAAGGGATTGCGAAATCAACGTAGGTAAATCCATCGATTCCACTATTTGTTTTACGCTTCTTTATCCTTTTTCTTCTCCGTTTCTGAAGTTCTAGGGTTTATTCGTCGGATCAGAGGGTTGTCTGCAATCTGGTAGTATTAATTTAATTCACCTCATATATCAACGTATACACGGAAGGATGTTCTTGGTCGATTGGTTCTACGGGATTCTCGCATCGCTGGGCCTGTGGCAGAAGGAGGCTAAAATCTTGTTCTTGGGCCTCGATAATGCTGGCAAAACGACCTTGCTTCACATGTTGAAAGATGAGGTCTCTTCATTTTTTCTGCAATTTCTTTTTTATTTTTATTTTTATTGTTAATTAATCTTCTTATTAATTTAAATATATTTAGATAACAGTTGATTGTATAAACTACTCTGAATACCACTAGGTTTTTCTTTTTAAATATAAACTACTCTGAATACCACTAGGCTTTTGTTTGATGCATTTGTGTGAGTAAATCTCATATTTTTTTTTTTCCATTAAGCAGAGATTAGTCCAACATCAGCCTACACAGTACCCAACATCTGAGGAGCTGAGTATTGGGAAAATCAAGTTTAAGGCTTTTGACTTGGGAGGGCATCAAATTGCCCGCCGCGTTTGGAAGGACTATTATGCTAAGGTATAATTTTTTTATTTTTTATTTTCCATTCATTTGCTTTTCTTATTTTTTCCTCTTTATTGAAATTGAATTACTTCTAGCATCCTATGCATTATAGGAGACTGATTACTGGGGTTCTTGGATCTTTTTGTGTTTCTGTTGTATATTCTGTGAATCTGTGTGCTAGGAGTTGTACTTTCATTATGGGTGCTGCCACTAGCATTATCATTAATTAGCCATGATTATTGTTATTATCTTGCTCATCTTGATTATAATATGTCTCTTGGTTTTTGAGAGCATTTCTGATTAATACTCTAACCAGGTCTCACATGACATTGTATATACTAGGAGTTTCCAGCTTTTACTTGACTGTTAATTCTATGACGAATGATGATAACAAGCTACCAAGGAAAAAAACGTATCACTGTGCTCTTTTGAGTTGTTTGGAATTCACTTTGTAACAGATTACCTTGTGCTAAGTTGAGATGCCCTTCCTTTTCTTTAAATTGTCTGAAGGGAAAAAGTAGTTTTGCATGTGTGGTTTCTGCCAACTGCTTCATATTTTGTCCCTTTTTTTTGTTTTTTTTTTTTTTTTGTTTTTTTTGCTTTGTACACCTGTGCATATAGAAATCTAAGGGCCCGTTTACTTCAGGAAATTGTTCTCTGTTTTTTGTTTTCTAATTGTTCAATTTTCATTATCTTTTTTTGTTTAGAAAACTTGTTTAATAACACTCATTTTTAATTTATTTTTTAGACTAACGTTATAAAATTAACAAGTGTAATTTTGAGTGATTTTTAGACCTTATATTTAAAATACTTTTGGATATGTTTGGTTTAAATGGAATAAATATATTACTTTTAAGTCTAATATATGTAAGATGTTTACATTTGATATCTGAACCAAATTTATATCCGTATATAACGTAACTAAAAATAAACCAATAACCTATTAAGTTCACCTAAAATTTAGTTTCAATAATATTAATATTTTTTGAGCTAATATTTAAAATATTTTTGGATATATTCATTTGAATGAAATGTATATAGATAATTTTTATTTTGAAGTCTAATATATGTGAGATTTCAATATATGATATCCATACCAAACTTGTATTACGAACATAACTAAAAATATTCGAACCAACAATCTATTGAGTTCAATCAAAATCTAAAACTTAGTGTACAGTTCAAGTTTTAATTGTGATAATGTTAATAATGTCTAACTTTAAACGGAAAAAAAATTATATTAGGTTTATATAAGTAAAAGCGAGTAGGAAAGATAGAATATGCTTGATAAGTAAAAGAAGATGGTAATGAATGTAACCATAGTAATTGTTAGACAAGTACTGGCAATATGTGTAAACTGTGTATCTGTATTGCTGTGTGTTTCATGTACAGAAGAGAAATGAAATATATACAAGCTAAGGAAGGTCTTAAGACACTTATTTCAAAAAACAAACCCAAGGGTTGAGAGTAATTCTCTCAACCAAACCTAAGTCCACTAACAGTAATGAATAAATATGTAATTAGATAGTGGTGAGAATGTGATTATAGTGATATGCAGTCAAATAGATGATAGATGATTTTGTTTTCCATTTAGAAAACAGTTTTTAAAAGTTCTCCAGTTTTCTAGAAATTTGGAAAATGTTTTCAGTTTTCAAAATGGAAAACTGTGCTAACATGTTTTCTGTTTTTTGTTCTCCAATTCTTCAGTTTTTCAGAAAAATGGAGAAATTCTCTTGTTAGTAAACGGGCCATAAGTGTTGCCTGCTTTTCATTTTTCACACGCACAGCTATTAATTGACAGAGTAAAATGTGTGTATGCATTAATAATCCCAAATAAATGTACCAGTACTTATTTGATTTATTGGAGGCACATATTGATGATGGGAGTTCACAGATAGCACCTTTTTGTTTTCTCAAAAGGTGTTTCAGTAGCATCTCACCATACAATTGTCTCTTAAACCCAATAAGTCCTTAAACCCAATAAGTCTCTTGGTAGAATTTATATTATAAATCAAAATGGAAAGGCTAAGCGACTCAAAAGAGGGGAGAAAACAGACTGCAGCAAAAGAGAAGGGGAAGGACTAAATTTAGTCAGAGGAAATGCAGTTAAATGAAAACCATGTTGCAAGTAAATTTCTTTGATTATATTTATGTTGTTATCTTTGAATGGATTGTTAATTTGAGTATGTCTCAATTATAGATTATATCTGTTGTTAGAGTTGGCAGTGCTTTGTTTCCTGTGTGGTAAGCAGGCACAGGTGATGAAAAAGAAATCTCTACAGCAGATCACTGGGTTGTAATATCTCATTTCTGTCTTTTCATCTCAATAATTGTCACTGTAAATGCATGTTTTAGTCAGTTTTTGTTTCCTTTGGTACCCTTGGAAGTTCTTACAGTATCTATTTGTCATTTAGCTGAGTTCATAGTGTGGTTTTTAATTTTGCATGAAGGTGGATGCTGTTGTTTACTTGGTGGATGCCTACGATAAAGAAAGATTTGCGGAGTCAAAGAAAGAGCTGGATGCTCTCCTGTCAGATGAGTCTTTGGCTAATGTACCGTTTCTAATTTTGGGTAACAAGATTGACATCCCATATGCTGCCTCAGAAGATGAATTGCAATACCACATGGGGCTGACTGGCATCACCACTGGCAAGGGAAAGGTAAACCTGGCAGACACTAATGTTCGCCCACTTGAGGTATTCATGTGCAGCATAGTCCGCAAAATGGGTTATGGAGAAGGCTTCAAATGGATGTCTCAATACATCAAGTAGATCCATTTCCAAAAAAAAAGTAGATGCAAGTGTTATTTCGTACTCTAGGGCTCTAGGCAAAGAGTGTTTGCCCTTGTGAAAAGTGGTGGTTGAATATATGTCGCCATTGATTTCAGTTTTTGGTGAAATGACAAAGAACCATTTCTGTTACATCATCACCTCTCAAATTTGAGATGGAACATATATTTAGTTCTTTAATGCCATTTCCTTCTTTAGACCTCAGCTAATATATTCAGACATATATTCTCAAGTTTAGGTGTGTATTTGACACTTTTTTTTTCAGTTACCAGAGCCCAAGTACTGTGTTTGAAATAGTTATATGGCCCATGTAGTTGCAGGTATTAAAGTATGCTCCACTCATCAAATAAGAGTTTCAAGAATGAAGATCAGAAGTCAATTGACAATTGTATAAGATTTAGTATATGTTTATTATCTTTTGTTGAGCTCAGTTATTTCCATCCTTCTTCCAATCCTTTTGATAAATTTATACCTTCTAGTCATTCACAAGTGTCATATTTGGTCTTGAGAATCAAGTTTCAAAACATATTTTTAGAAATAGTTTAACATGAACAACAAAAAACAGTCAGTGTTATTCATCATTTCTCTCTTCAGTTTCTTAGAAATGGACACGACCAAAAGGGCCAAATATCAGCATCCATTTTCAGGTTAAACTAGCCACTGTACTATGCATAAAATTCTTTCAGATTTAACTCTATTGTACTCGATTCCACTGCAATTACTTGATTTATATAGGGAAGTATTCATTCAATTTATAGAGAGTCCAACTTCTCGGCTGATTGGCTTACATCTTTTGCAACATCTCTTCCGCCGCCCTTAACTAGAAGGAGCAAGCGCAGTGAACTGTAAATGTGAAAAGATTGGAAGATCTGGCCAAAGAAGGTGATAGCCCTGTAGATTCGTTCCGTACGGTTACAACTCTTATTTGAACGAAGTTAAAAAAATAAGATCAGTCAAACTCAAACGTCTTGATATGTTCCCTCCAATCTAAATTAGTAACCATGACGGCGACAGTGTGGGGATTATGATCAAAATGGGCAGATCTCTTGTGCGCACCGGCATTAATGCCCTGTCTACTGAGCCATTGAGTTATCGTGATTTACATTCTCCCAAATGATCTGTCGGACCAGGGTGTGGGGATCCTTGGGGTTGGGGATTCAATCTTTTGAGGTTAGTATTGCGCTATTCCCCTTTGCAGAGTCTACTTTGTAAGTTTCCAATTTCTTCATCATTAGAACTGAATATCAGTTAGCCTGGTTGCAGAACCTAATGACCGCTACATTCTTAAGGCTTATTGCTTACAGGGACTGCTAATGCTTTATCTGTTTGTGCAGGAGATTCATTACCACATGTAACTGTAAGGGAGCAATACAGGCACCTCCTCAACTAATGTAAGATATAATATAATATCTACCCGACCATACTTTGTCCTGCTTCTTTAATAATGTTCCTTTCTCTCATCAACTCTCTCACCTGCTCAACTTCATCCCATTTTCCTTGCTCTGCATAAATATTGGACAGCAGTACATAATTACCTGAATTCCAAGGTTCAAGACTAATAAGTTCCTTAGCGGTGCATTCTGCTAGTTCCATATCACCATGAGTGCGGAGGGCACTGAGCAAAGAGCCCCACAATGCAGCAGCATTTGGTTTCATTGGCATGGATTTTATCAAATCATATGCCTCTTTCACATGTCCATTACGGCCCAAGAGATCAACCATGCATCCATAATGCTCGAGTGTTGGCTCAATATCATAATTTGTGATCATTGAAGCAAACAAATCTCGGCCTCTTTGCACCAAACCTGCATGAGTGCAACATGCTAAAACCCCCACAAAAGTTGATTCGTTAGGCCTCGTGCCTTCACTTATCATATTGTCGAACAACTGAACCCCAAGTTCAGCCTTCCCATTGAAAGCCAAACCGGAGATCATTGCATTCCAAGAAACAACATTCTTTCCAGCCATGTCCTTGAATATTAGAGAGGCAGGCTCCAAATCCCCACATTTGCAGTAAAAGTCAACCAATGCATTGCCTACAGATACATAGTCACCTATAAGACCTTTAGAGTCAACATAAGAATGAATCCAACTCCCCACTTCAATTTCTCCCAAACGAGCACAGATTGGCAAAACTGTGACCACAGTAGCTTCATCAGCCTCAAATCCATTGTCATTCATCTCACTGAAGAGCTCCAAAGCCTCCTTATCCCTCCCACCTCGAGCTAAGCACGAAATCATCAGATTCCAAGAAACAACGCTCCTCTCATCCATTTGCCTAAACACCCTCAAGCCCATCTCCACATTCCCACTTCTACAATACCCTTGAACCATCAAATTCCAAACAATCACATCTCTTGGAGACATTTCATCGAACACCCTCTTTGCATCCACCATTCGGTCACAGCTCGAGTACAGCTCCACAATCCCAATACCTATGGACGTGAACCTATGAAAACCAAGCACAATGGCTTCTTTGTGAACTGCTTGGCCCAATCGGATATCTGGGAGATTCGAACACGCCTTGAGCAAAGGCGCAAGCGTGTACTCATCCGCCCAAATTCCACGATTCTTCATACCGGAAAAGAGCGCAATGGAGTTAAGAAAGGGGCCACAAAGAGAGAAGCCCTTTATCATGGAATTGAAGAGAAAAATGTTGGGGTATGGGAAGCGTTGGAAGATGATATTTGCGTAGTCCATCTTGTTGTGCGACCCGCAAACGGAGACAAAGTGGGAGAGGACTTGATTGGAATTGTGCAAGAGGTGGCGTAAGATGTGGGCGTGGATTTGGGTAAGATGGGTTCGGGTGTTTTGGCCGTGTAGGAGGCTGAGGATCCGCCGCTCAACCGCTCGCCTCATCTCATCTGCGCTCGGCAAGGATGTCAAATGTCGTCAACTGCGCAGATGTTAAATTTTAGCGCCAACTCTGGTTATCACTTCTATGCCTGCCTTCTTTACTTCTGTAAACTTACTTTCCCAAACTACAATCTTTCTATGATGAATCCACAAAGAGCATCCTCATCAGTAGCTTTTAAGTAATTTTTTGTGAGACAAAATGTAAGAGGTTGGAGATAGAAAGGACAAAAGGAAAAATAGTCTTGCAATAATTTTTTGTTTTGAATGTGGGCCTCACTAAAATAAATAAATAAATAAAAACAAAAGTAACACGTACCAGTAGTGCTCTCGCGTTGAGGATGGTCGCCAATTGACTTTTTTCTTCCATCCTCTTTTCTATTGACTCCAAAAAATTTGTAAAAAAAACTAGATCAAAGACTGGGGTTCTGGAGATTTGAAGGTTCACTTTGATGGAAATCCATTGAGCCAAGATAAAACCACACAAACACTGACGAGAAGGGAAACACAAGACAAAAACGGAAGAGGGCAAGTTACATAGAACAAAGATAAACGGCTAGCCAGGAGAGAAGGTAGAAGGAACCCCTAGTACAGGTCAAAATTGCAAATTGCAATTGTGGCGTTGTTTGAGGTTCCATGATGTAGTAGTTAGCACTCTGGACTTTGAATCCAGTAACCTGGGTTCGGAAAAAAATCAAATTCATTACCGTTGTATGAGTTCTGTTTTCTAGTGTCATTTTCTATACACTAGTTTCATTATGTTCTGGTTTTAGTTTCATTATAGTAACATTGAAATGTCATTTTAATAACACTCTATTCCTGCTATCCAATTTCATTTTATACACACAATAACATTCATTATAGCAATAATAAAGTATCACTTTAATTATATTACAAGTTCATGTGACAATATGCATATCTATGTGATTTTTTCTATTCAGATTCATTTTATACATACAATAGGGTTTATTATAGCAACGATAAAATGTCATTTTAATTGTACTATAAGTTTTTTGACAATATACATATTTGAATGAGTTCTGCTATAATTGTTTTTTGACTACTACTGACTTTGTTACAATGTAGTATCTGTCCATACAGACCTTTTCAACCTATTTAAGCACAAAGACAATATACATATTTGAATGAGCTCTAGTATTCAGTTTCATTTTTACACACAATAGGTTCTTTATAACAACACTAAGTAATATTTAAATTCTACTATAGGTTCATTTGACAATAAACATATCCGTAACGTGATACACCATCCTCCTCATCAACACTAATCAAGAGGGATGCATAGACATCTCTAGGGCCTCAGAAGAGGGGTGAGGGCTCACCAGTTGCCTAGATGAGCTAGATCAAAGACTGGGGTTCTGGGGATTTGAAGGTTCACCTTGATGGGAATCCAGTGAGATAAAATAAAATCAGAGAAACACTGACGAGAAAGGAAATACAAGACAAAAATGGAAGAGGGCTAGTTACTTAGAACAAGGAGAAACGGCTAGCCATGACAGAAATTAGAAGGAACACCTAGTACAGTTCAAAATTGCAAATTGCAATCGTGGCATTGTTTGAGGTTCCATGGTGTAGTGGTTAGCACTCTGGACTTTGAATCCAGTGACCTGGGTTCGACTTCCGGTGGGACCTTCTTGTAATTACACGTAGTTACATTTTTTATACACTAGTTTCATTATGCTCTGTTTTTTTTAGTTTCATTATAGTAACATTGAAATATCATTTTAATTACACTCTATTCTCTGCTATCCAATTTCATTTATACACACAATAACATTCATTATAGCAACAATAAAGTATCGCTTTAATTATATTACAAGCTCATGTGACAATATGCATATCTATATGATTTTTTCTATTCAGATTCATTTTATACATACAATAGGGTTTATTATAGCAACGTTAAAATGTCATTTTAATTGTACTATAGGTTTTTTTGACAATATACATATTTGAATGAGTTCTGGTATAATTGTTTTTTGAGTACTACTGACTTTGTTATAGTGTAGTATTTGTCCATACATACCTTCTCAACCTACTTAAGCTCAAAGACAATATACATCTTTGAATGAGCTCTAGTATTCAGTTTCATTTTTACACAAAATAGGTTATTTATAACAACACTAAAGTAATTTTTTAATTCTACTATAGGTTCATTTGACAATAAACATATCCATAACATGATACACCATCCTCCTCATCAACACTAATCAAGAGGGCTGCATAGACATCTCCAGGGCCTCAAAAGAGAGGTGAGGGCTCACCAGTTGCCTAGATGAGGTAGATCAAAGACTGGGGTTCTGGGGATTTGAAGGTTCATCTTGATGGAAATTCATTGATCGAGACAAGATAAAATCAGAGAAACACTGACGAGAAAGGATACACAAGACAAAAATGGAAGAGGGCTAGTTACTTAGAACAAGGAGAAACGGCTAGCCATGACAGATACTAGAAGGAACACCTAGTACAGTTCAAAATTGCAAATTGCAATCGTGGCATTCTTTTAGGTTCCATGGTGTAGTGGTTAGCACTCTGGACTTTGAATCCAGTGACCTGGGTTCGACTCCCGGTGGGACCTTCTTGTAATTACACGTGGCTACATTATTTATACACTAGTTTCATTATGCTCTGTTTTTTTAGTTTCATTATAGTAACATTGAAATATCATTTTAATTACACTCTATTCTCTGCTATCCAATTTCATTTTATACACACAACAACATTCATTATAGCAACAATAAAGTATCACTTTAATTAGATTACAAGTTCATGTGACAATATGCATATCTATATGATTTTTTCTATTCAGATTCATTTTATACATACAATAGGGTTTATTATAGCAACGTTAAAATGTCATTTTAATTGTACTATAGGTTTGTTTTTTTTTTTTTTTTTACAATATACATATTTGAATGAGTTCTGCTATAATTGTTTTTTGACTACTACTGACTTTGTTACAATGTAGTATCTGTCCATACAGACCATTTCAACCTACTTAAGCACAAAGACAATATACATATTTGAATGAACTCTAGTATTCAGTTTCATTTTTACACACAATAGGTTTTTTATAACAACACTAAAGTAATATTTTAATTCTACTATAGGTTCATTTGACAATAAACGTATCCGAAATGTGATACACAATCCTCCTCATCAACACTAATCAAGAGGGCTGCATAGACATCTTCAGGGCCTCAGAAGAGGGGTGAGGGCTCACCAGTTGCCTAGATGAGGTAGATCAAAGACTGGGGTTCTGGGATTTGAAGGTTCATCTTGATGGAAATTCATTGATCGAGACAAGATAAAATCAGAGAAACACTGACGAGAAAGGAAACACAAGACAAAAATGGAATATGCTAGTTACTTAGAACAAGGAGAAATGGCTAGCCATGAGAGAAGCTAGAAGGAACACCTAGTACAGTTCAAAATTGCAAATTGCAATTGTGGCATTGTTTGAGGTTCCATGGTGTAGTGGTTAGCACTTTGGACTTTGAATTCAGTAACCTGGGTTCGACTCTTGGTAGGACCTTTTTGTAATTATAATTACACGTGGCTACATTTTTTATAAACACTAGTTTCATTATGCTCTGTTTTTTAGTTTCATTATAGTAACATTGAAATATCATTTTAATTACACTCTATTCTCTGCTATCCAGTTTCATTTTATACACACAATAACATTCATTATAGCAACAATAAAGTATCACTTTAATTATATTACAAGTTCATGTGACAATATCCATATCTATATGATTTTTTCTATTTAGATTCATTTTATACATACAATAGGTTTTATTATAGCAACGATATAATGTCATTTTAATTGTACTATAAGTTTTTTTTACAATATACATATTTGAATGAGTTCTGCTATAATTGTTTTTTGACTACTACTGACTTTGTTACAATGTAGTATCTGTCCATACAGACCTTTTCAACCAACTTAAGCACAAAAATAATATACATATTTGAATGAGCTCTAGTATTCAGTTTCATTTTTACACACAATAGGTTCTTTATAACAACACTAAGTAATATTTAAATTCTACTTTAGGTTCATTTGACAATAAACATATCCGTAACGTGATACACCATCCTCCTCATCAACACTAATCAAGAGGGATGCATAGACATCTCCAGGGCCTCAGAAGAGGGGTGAGGGCTCACCAGTTGCCTAGATGAGCTAGATCAAAGACTGGGGTTCTGGGGATTTGAAGGTTCACCTTGATGGGAATCCAGTGAGATATAATAAAATCAGAGAAACACTGACGAGAAAGGAAACACAAGACAAAAATGGAAGAGGGCTAGTTACTTAGAACAGTGAGAAACGGCTAGCCATGACAGAAACTAGAAGGAACACCTAGTACAGTTCAAAATTGCAAATTGCAATAATGGCATTGTTTGAGGTGCCATAGTGTAGTGGTTAGCACTTTGGACTTTGAATCCAATGACCTGGGTTCGACTCTTGGTGGAACCTTTTTGTAATTACACGTTGCTACATTTTTTATACACTAGTTTCATTATGCTCTGTTTTTTTAGTTTCATTATAGTAACATTGAAATATCATTTTAATTACACTCTATTCTCAGCTATCCAATTTCATTTATACACACAATAACATTCATTATAGCAACAATAAAGTATCGTTTTAATTATATTACAAGCTCATGTGACAATATGCATATCTATATGATTTTTTCTATTCAGATTCATTTTATACATACAATAGGGTTTATTATAGCAACGTTAAAATGTCATTTTAATTGTACTATAGGTTTTTTTGACAATATACATATTTGAATGAGTTCTGGTATAATTGTTTTTTGAGTACTACTGACTTTGTTATAGTGTAGTATTTGTCCATACATACCTTCTCAACCTACTTAAGCTCAAAGACAATATACATCTTTGAATGAGCTCTAGTATTCAGTTTCATTTTTACACAAAATAGGTTATTTATAACAACACTAAAGTAATTTTTTAATTCTACTATAGGTTCATTTGACAATAAACATATCCATAACATGATACACCATCCTCCTCATCAACACTAATCAAGAGGGCTGCATAGACATCTCCAGGGCCTCAAAAGA